AGTGACTATGGACCAGCTCTGGCCCTGGCAAACCAACAATCTTCTCCACTACCCAGTGGGCTGCAACTATACCTTTCCCATCAAGGTTGGAACACCAATTAGGGAGGGTACTTCCATCTCCTTCTAAGTCTGTCCTTCCTTTCTCCTCAGTCCTAGGGGAGGACAGAGTTTTATCTTATAGTTACTTTGTTATCACAGTTTAAGAGTTTATATGAAACTTCACCTATTTAGTCAACCCTTGCTCTCTGTCTCCTGATTAGACTCATACTGATGCAACCAGTGTACCATCCCACAGACCACTTGCTTGTTACAAAGGGGGAAATATGACTTTACAATGAAGGATGTGCCATCACCATCCTAACCCCCTTGTTAATGTCAACATCCTTCACAGCAGACAACCCAATATAATGCTGACTCCAGATATGATGCAGCACAAACACCATGTCATTGCCTACAAAGCATTTCTGCCAAAAATGTTCAACTAGAATCTAATCCAGTGATCCACTACGGTGTGAGAATAGATGATCCCCAGCTCTGGCTCAGTTGGTTGAGCATTTTCTCATGCACCAAGGGATTGCTGGATCGATTCCCAGTCAGAACACAAGTCGGGGTTGTAGGCTCGATCCCTGGTAGGGGGCACGCAGGAGGCAGCCAATCGATGGTTCTTTCTCATCAATATTTCCGCTCTCTCACCCTTCCTCTCTCTCTTTAAAATCAACTAAAACATATTAAGAAAAATTACATGATCTCCAGGCTGGGTTGACAAACCACTGGGAATGAAGAAGCAGATTACATCTGGCCTTGGGGAATAATCTATTAATTACAAAATTTCTAGACCCTAAAGAGAATCCATCATCATCCCTGAAATCCCTTGACTCCTACCTCCTTCAAAAACAAATACTGCCCTGGCCTGTGTTTCTCAATGATTAGTGTCATCCCATGTACTGAAGGGTGGAGGGTTCGATTCCCAGTGAAGGGCATGTACCTGGGTTGTAGGTTTGATCCCCGGCACCAGTCAGGGCGCATGTGGAGGCAACTAATCAATGTGTCTCTCTCACATTGATGTTTCTCTGTCTCTTTCTCCCTCTCTCCCCCACTCCTGCCTCCCTTCCACTCTCTAAAAACCAATGGAAAAAATATCCTTGGGTGAGGATTAACAAACAAAAAAACAAAACAAAACCCAATAAACAAACACAAATACTACTAAAGAACTCTTGTACACTGTTGCTGGAAATGTAAAATGATTCAGCTACCACAGACAACAGTATGATAGTTCCTAAAAATATTAAACAGAATTACCATAGGATCTAACTACTCCATTTCTGGGTATATATCCAATAAAATTGATAACAGGGTCTTGAAGAGCTATTTTTTTTAATATATTTTATTGATTTTTTTACAGAGAGGAAGGGAGAGAGATAGAGAGTTAGAAACATCGATGAGAGAGAAACATCGATCAGCTGCCTCCTGCACATCTCCTACTGGGGATGTGCCCGCAACCCAGGTACATGCCCTTGACCGGAATCGAACCCGGGACCCCTCAGTCCGCAGGCCGATGCTCTATCCACTGAGCCAAACGGGTTTCGGCTTGAAGAGCTATTTTTACACTACTGTTCATAGTAGCATTATTCACAACAGCTGCGACGTAAAAGTAACTTAAGTGTCCATTAAAGGATGAACAGAGAAGGAAAATGAGATATACATACAATGGACTTAACAAGAAAGGTAATTTTGATACATTCTAGTGTCATGGATGAACCTTGAGGACAGTATGTTAAGTGAAATAAGCCAGTCACAAAGCAGCAAATACTGTATGATCCTACTTATATGACCTATCTAGAGTAGTCAATTTCATAAAAACAGAAAACAGCATAATGATGGTTGCCAGGGATGGGGGAGGGGGAAATGAGGAATTATTATTTAATGGGTATAGAGGTTCAGTTTTCAAGATGAAAAATTTCTGGAGAGTGGTTGCACAACAATGTGAAAATACCTGACACTACCAGATTGTACTTTTGCATGAATAAGATAGTAAATTTTTTATCATATGTGTTTAACTACAATTTTTAAAATGTTCATCTTTATATGTGCAAAAAAGAAAACAACCCCAAATACACAAACTCCAAAAAATCTGCTAAAATAGTCTACTTCTAAGAAGAGTTTCAGAAATATACAGGGTTTGGCAAAAGTAAGTTTATAGTTGTTCATATGGAAAAATATATAATCCTATCCTATATAATAAAAGCCTAATATGCAAAGTGTCCAGTTGTTCATTCAACCAAAGTGTAATATGCTAAGGATATGCTAAGGTTGCTCAACCGCTCGCTATGACGTGTACTGACCACCAGGGGGCAGACAGTTGACCGGTCGACCAGTTGCTATGATGTGCACTGACCATGTTCTCCAACCAGTAGGTTAGCTTGCTGCTGGGGTCCATTGATCGGGACTGAGCAAGACAGGCTGTACACACCCTGGAGCCCTCCCGTGGTCTCTCCCCGGCTGGCCAACCTCCCACGTCCCTCCCTGGCCCCGATTGTGCACTGGTGGGGTCCCTCAGTCTGGCCTGCACCCTCTCGCAATCCGGAACTCCTCGGGGGATGTCGGAGAGCCAGTTTCGGCCCAATCCTGCAGGCCAGGCCGAGGGACTCCACTGGTGCATGAATTTGTGCACTGGGCCTCTAGTACAAGAATAAACTCTGTTATTATACGCTGTCTTAGAACCCTATACCCTCCCTTTACAGTGATTATGACCAAACAAATACTGAGTCATTAGTGTTTATCAACAGTCTCCCCTGCTGGCTGTAAGTTCTATGAGGGAAGACAGGGTCCATGTCTTTTCATTGGTTGATACATTCAGCCTGGCAGAGGGTTGAGCAAAATTAATTAATAGGATTATCCCAAATTGGGTTTCTAGGATAAAAACAGCTAAAATTCTGAAGCCCCATAGAATTAATCATCATTCCCTCTCCTTGCCTTTTCCAATTAGTAAGTTTTCCAGAACACTACCTCCAAAGAAAAAGAATCCTATCCTATAGATAGGACTCAAAAATGCTCTGCCTGCCACCTGTTTATCATTCATTCATTTTACTCCAACATGTAGTAAGGCTATACACAAATACAGATAAACACCAAGTATCTGCACTTAAAGCATTTCCACTCTGGTGGAGAAGCTAGGAAATACTATTTTATTTTCCTGTAAAAACCAACCAAACAAACCTATGCTTTAGCACAGGTTCTAGAATAAGGCTGGGTTCAAATCCTCACTCCACTACTTACTAGCTGTGTAACCTGGTCACCTAACCTCTCTGTATCTCAGTCTCCTCATCAGTAAGACGGGTTTAATAATGATACCTAAAAACAAACAAAAAACCCAAACAACAATAATGATACCTATTTTGTGGGATTGTGAGACTTAAGTTAATACAGATAAAAGTACTTAGCAAAGTGTATAGTACATAGAAAGGCACAACTGCTGTTAGCCCAAATAATATAGCTCCATAGCAAGGCTTAGACTTCTACTCCTTTCTGCAGTACAGCACAGACAGGTAGACATGGGCTAGCCACGCAGGTCAACATTTCCACTTCCTGGTGCATCAACAAAGCTAAAACTTCATATCATAAATAGGAGTTCTGTAATAATGAGGCCATTATTTTTAGTACTCTCCTATTTAACAAGCCTGCATAGACAACATATATTTTCAAAAGTAATACGAGTTAATATTTTCAAAAGTGTATGGCTGTGTTGTTGTAGACACTAAATTTCATGCCAACTACATCCCTTCTCCACAAAAATAGATATTGTTATTTCCTCACTTTACCGATTTTAACTTTCGCATTTTTTCCCATATTGTAGAAACATATTTATTAGAAATAACAAATGCAACAGAGGTCTAAAAATTGCCACAAGGCATTTGTCCCTCTTAAGGGCAAAATGGTGTCTTTTATTGAAATAAGACCCCAAGGAGATGTCTTTGTGATCTTTAGTTGCAATCAATAAAGTGTTTTTTAAAAAAACTTTATTGGGCAACTACTTACTACATAGCAGGCACTGTTCTAAATAAGCACTGGAGATAAAGAGATGTAAGAAATATGCTCTCAGCCCTCAAGGAACTTACTTGGTTTAGCAGAAGAAACCTACTATACAAATATGGCCCTACCGTGGCATACATAGCAGACCCGGGCACCGGGTCCAAAGGAAGGTCAGCTGTCTCTACTGGGTTGGGTCAGGGAAGAGAACAGAAAGGACCCTTGAACTAAGTCCTAAAGGATGAGCAAGAATGGTCCAGACAGATAAATAATGAAGGACATGGCAGCGCCCACAGAAGGAACTGCAGGCTGGGGCAAATACAGGGAGCCATGAAACCTGACGATAGATTGGGGTCCTGTTCTGTGCAACCGAACACAAAACTTGGGTACAAGAGGGGCAGATGAAGTTGGAGAGATCAACAGGAGCCGACTTGTAGATCTAACGAGAGTCGTCTGCACCAAGGATAATGATGTAAACAATGTACGCTTCAGAAAGATGAGTGGGCTCTACGACTCCCATGAGGGGGCTGTCCTGAGCTGGGGGTCCCAACTCGCGCAGCCCCGGATCCACGGACGACTGGCCCCCTTCTCCCCGCCCTGGTCAGCACTGCCACCCCGCCCGCCGTGCGCCCCTCCGCCTCTCGGAGCGCCCCTGTGGTCTGGCTTCGGCAGGACCACCGGGCAGGAGACTGGGCACGCGCTGTCACCCGGCGGCCTCCTCCAACGTGATCTGAGCATCATCCCGGAGGCAGGCAGACCTAGGCTTCAGCGCTGGGCTCGGCCACTACCTGTGTGACCACTAGGCTTGCCTCAGTTTCCGTACGTTCAGTGGCAGACGCCGGGGGAGAGCCGGCGAGGGGCGGACCCCAGCGCCGAGTGACGGGGTCGCGCGCGGCGGGCTCCGCCCCGACTCGAGCCGGCGGGAGAGCTGGGTAAGCCAGGCCGTGGGTGGGTGGGAGGGCGGGGCGGCTCACCGGTAAAAGGCAGAGTCCCCGAGCGGGTTCCAGTTCGCCGTGTAGCAGTCCATGGCTGGTGCAGGGGGCTGCGGGGCAGCACTGAAGGGACTCCCGCCTAGCCAGGGCTCCGGGCCGGCACTTCCGCTTCCGCCCTCCCGGATCACGTGGCGAGGCCGCCGCCACTGCCTGGAGCGCTCTGGGCAGCTGCATTCGGCGGCCGCCGCTCCCCCGCCCACACCCGGGCCTAGTGCCCGCCTCGGTGGGCCTGGCTCTGGTTCCTGCCCCGACACGGCAGCCAGCCCCGCCTCCTTCCTGTCCCCTCGGGCATTGAGGGTGCACAGGGCGGGACATGGGTGACCGGAAGTGGGAGCTATGAGCGTCGCTGCCCCGGGCGCCGAGGCTCGAAGCGCCGTCGGGGCCGCCGCGACGCACGCATGGAGGACGCTGGCGC